TTTTTTTTATTTAAATTTTCATTCCAAAGAACAACAAAAGGAAAAACCTAAAAAGAAAATTTTTTTTTTTTTAACCAAAACAAACGTGGAAGTTAATTACGTGTGACAAGGAATTTTTATTATTATTTAGGAATAAATTTATTTTTAATAATTTTCCTAAAAAGAAAATTTTTTTTTACAAATACTTTCAAAACATTTTCCACGTGTCAATAAATTTTCCGTTTTTTGTTCTGATAACATTTTACGAAACCTTATCACGAATCCCCCCCCAAAAAAGAAAAGAAAAATCAAAAACTTTTCATAACACAAACAGGAAGTTACAAAAAAATTTTAAAATTTTGTTTTTCCTTTTTTTTTTTTTTTCACTTCGATTTCTGTAAAAATATTTACGAATTTGAAATTTTATAAAAAAAAATAAAATAAAAGTTTTAAATTATTTAAATAAATTTTCCTTAATTTATTTTCTATGTTAATTATTCTCAGTTGACAGACAACCCGTTTGTTGTTGTTGTTGTTTTGTTAAAAGAACAAAATTTTAAGAAAAGTATATAAAATAAATTTTACTTTATTTTTTTATTTTACTTCTCATAAATAAATAAATAATGAAAGTGTTTTTCTTTGTTTCCAGGTCAAATAACAAAATAAAAAAATTTGTTTTTAACTTTTTTGGCGCCATTTTTATTAAAAAAACTTTTTCCTATTTGAATTTTATTACTTTATTTTTTTTTTTTATTTTATTCCTTTCCAGTTAACCTAAATATGTTTAAAAAAAAAAAAAAAAAATTTATAGTAAAATTAAAAACGAGAAATTTAATTAAATTAAATAAAAATAATTTTATTAAAAGAAAAAAAAAGAAAATATAATGGAATATATCTCTGGAACGATTGGGATTAAAGTTTTTTTTTTTTTTTTTTTCCATTTAATCTAGAAAATTATATCGAAATCTTGATTTAAATCTTTTTTTTCTTTTTTTTTTTTTTTCGTTAAAGGAGGAAAAATGAAAGCTTTTAAGTTTGTTAATATAAATCCTTTAGATATATATATATACGAGTAATAAATTTGATAAAAAATTTATTTTAGGTTTTCAACTAACTGTGCCACCCATTAAAATTTTTTTCTTCTTTTTTTTTTGCAATGAATTTTAGGGAAAAATTTAAAATCGTGCTAAAAAATTATTTAAATTAAAAAAGGAGGGAAAACAAATGATAAAAATAAACATAAAAATATATATCATCCACGGCAGGGGGTTCCCCCGTCGTGGGGTACACAAAATCCTTTTGATGTAAATTTTTTGTTAGATATTATTTATTCAAGGGAAAACTTTTTTTAATGGAAAATTATTATATTTTCTTTTCTTTTTTCTTGTATTTTTAGATGTTATCAAATAGAACGTTCAACAAATTAACAAATAATGATGATATTACAACGGATTGGTGCACAAGCGAATTTATAACGGAATGTTTATGTTGGCATAATGTTTACAGGCAACATCATAATTCACCACCATTGACTTTAAGCCCTGAAGTATGCGTCCATATTGTAATTAAAATATGTTTAATTGAAACATAATAATAAGCGACACTCGCCCAATTTATCCTTAAATGACATTTTTACGTATGAATTATTTTCATTTTTTAACAACCATTTTGTGTCAATATTACTGTCACAAATAAATATTAATGGCGGTTTTTTTTTTTTTTTTTTTCATTCACACTTATTTACACACCTCGTTAATTTTTTTTTTTTTTTCTAAAAGTAATTATAATTTAGCTTCGGGGTTTGTAAAAATAATTATTTGTTAAAATTTGAAAACGTTTTCGATAATAAATTTGTTAAAAAATTGTTTTTTCTTTTAGTTGTGTAGCTATGCTCAAGAATGGGCCAACACATTAGCACACATGAATATATTTTTCTATAGGCCTGATGCAAAAAATATTGGACAAAATATTTATTGTAGGCTAAATGTTAAAGAACCAGGAGATGTAACTGGACAAGAGGTGGCTTGGTATTGGTATAAGGCATTCAGACAGTATAATTTTATGGGAAAACCTAATTTGTTGCATACTAATTCCAATGCAGGTACCATTTTTCCAAATTGTTAAATGTATGTATTGTTATGTATAATATGTAACTATCATGTCTGTGTTTTAGGTCATTTTACACAACTTATTTGGGCAAGTAGTTGTGATATTGGAATAGGAATTGCAAGGAGCAGAAGTGGAAAAGTTATGGTTGTTGCTAATTATCGTCCACCTGGAAATATAACAGGACAATTTAAAAAAAATGTTTTCCTTCCAACGGATGAAGATGAAAAATTTTTGAAAATCAGACATTGATTTTTTAATGTATTTCAATTTTTTTTTTTTTTGTTATAATCAGCCAATATGAAAGAAAGCTCAAATTTTATCAAACCGTTCATTTTAAATATTCTAATTATTATTCAATTTTAATTTAATTTTTTTTACTCGCAAAATTGACAATCGTTTTGTTAATGATCGCAATTATAAATAATAATAATAATAATGATAAAATATAAAATTTGGGTTAAAACTTGTTAAATTGTTAAACTAAAAAAAAGTTATTAAACAACATGCAAACCTATTAGAAAATTTTTTTTTATTGCATTAAATAAATTATTGTGGTTTTTAAATAATATTGTTAAACGCATTTGTTAATGTTAAATTTGAACATTTTTTATTTAATAAAAAAGCTAAAAATAAAATATTATTATTATTAAAAATGCTTTAGAATAAGTATTGTTATAGTTTTGCTAATATGTTTATACAATTACAAATTATCATTCGATAATTAAACTTGATTTTTTTTCTTCTTTAAATAAAGAAAATAATTTATTTTGTTTTTAACAACTTAAAACTTGTTTATATTTATATATAAATAATTATATTTATTAAAAATTGTTTAAAAATTTATGAATATAAAATTTATAAATATATATATGTATTGTTTCATTTCCTTTACACCAAATACATAAGAAAATAATTCAAATTTAGAAAAAAAAAAAATCCTTTAGGAGTAAAATCACACACATTTCTCTTTACGAAAACAATTATGTTCGATAAAAAATTCTTTTCTAAATTACAGTCGAAATTTCACTCTCATGCACATTTTATTTTAATCAACCATTTTTTCTTATAAAATAAAAATTTAGATAATAATAATAATGTGAATTAATCACTTTGGATAATAAACAGTTTATTCTTAATAATGTCTGTAATTATCTAATGGATTTAGATATAATTACATAATCAATTCTTTACTAACAGTCAATCTTATGTTACAATTTAAGTTGTATAACAAAGTAGCACAAGTTTTTTTTTTTTAAGTTAATTAAGTCTATTAATGTTTAACAGTATATTTTAAAAATTTAGAATATTTTAATTCTTAAAACCTAGATAAACAAGACTAGTAGAATAAGTATATTCCCATATATTTGACATTCTGGCTACTTTGTTTTCTAATTTTGGTTTAGTTTCTTCTGGGAATTTTCTACCAAATTCACCATAACCACAGCATCCTATAACAGGAGTGTTAGGGAAAAATTTACTAAGCGAATCACCTTCCCATATGATTAAATTTTTTACAGCTTTCGCAGAAAGTTGACTTCTGCTACAGCATCTAAAGACGAATAAGAGTCCTTTATTTGTTTTTGGGCACATTTCTCTAAATTCTTCTACTGCAACTTCAATTTTTTTTTTCGTATTAGTCTTTCTTTCAAGCAAAGTTGAAGCAGCTTCCACTTTGTCACCGTAAAAAATTATGTATTTGGTCACTATATTATCAGGTAATGAATCTACAAAGCATCCTCCAACTGCAAATTCCTCTGATTGAACTGTTCTTAAATGTGTGACAAAATCATCTTTTTGAGATATAGTATTGCCATAATTTACATTTTCAGAAATCATTAAAATTATAAGACACTTAATTATTTGATTTTCAAATACTCTAACTTGATTTTTAAGTTCTTCGAAACTAGTACCCGGCTTCCACTCGAATGTTTTTATTCCAACATTAGGTATGCTAGGAATTCTTAAATGTACATAAGGGTGCACACTAGAGTAAAATGATTTTAAAAAATTCGATTTAGGATGTTGAACAAGCTTTGATAAATCATGACAAGTTCCTATAACACCAGCTCGAGATTCTACTAATAAAAATTGTGAATTTTTTTTGCAATATTTTTTTAACATATCTTCTATACTTCTATTTCGGCGTACAAAAAAGGTTATGCTAAAAGAAGATTCAGTCCATATGTCAAATTTTTCTGATTCTGAGTACACAACAAAGGACTCAACTTCTGTGCGTTCCTTTTTAATAGTTTCTGCAACACTTTTCCAACTATCAAATGCTCTTGATACTGTTTCTAAATCTTCTAATGAAAGGTATGAAAAAATTTTTCGTAGAACTTCATATGCTGATGATAAATAATTAATAAAATTATCGGTATCTATACTTCTAATACGATCAAGCTTTTTATTTCTATACGTATCTTCTCCCATTTTAAAATAATAACAAATTATTTGTTTTTTAAGTATTTAATAAATACAGCTATTCAGCTAATAAGATTCATTTGAGCAAATCGACAGTTACCGAAATATTTAACTGAATTTGATAAAAGTTAATATTTATTTTCTTTAAAAAATTCTTTTACTAATTAAAACCATTACATTGATTTAAAAAAAAAACGTATTTGATAAAAATAATAACATAACGTTATTAAAATGCTATTTAAATTCAAATGATTCTAATATTTTTTTCGACATATCGAAAATAGTTTTTGCTAAATCGATTGTTCAAGTTCAGTGTTACAATAGTTACTTTTTATTATGTGCTTGTGTTAATAATTTTTTTTTTTTAGTGTAGTAAAATATAATGTATTTATTAAATTAAAAATGAGTACTTCAAAAAAAATTGAAATTAATCAATCTTCGGTAAGTACTTTTAAAATGTTACTTAATAATTGAAAATCATAAAATAATAACCTTACCTTGTTCGTTTTAATTTAATTTTTTAACTTATAAATCTTGGTAGATATTTTCATTTCAAAAAAAAAAAAAAATTAATTAATTTTCTAATAAAAATTCTTGATAGTACTAATTATATTTTATGAAATAGCTTTTAGGATTAAAAGCAGAAGTACTGAGAAAAAAAAATGAAATTCATTCTGCAAAATATGCTCAAGAGGTAATAACTCAACCGACAAGAAAAAAGTTAACTACAAAATTTGATAAAATAAATGAAGGTGTAGATGAAAGAAATAAAAGAGATGCTGAAGAAATTCAAGAAGAAGCAGAAGAAATTAAAAAATCTCAAAAAATTTTAGAAGCTAAATCAAAATTATATGAAAAACTTATAAATAATCCTAAAAGTGTAGAGAAATCGGTTGATGTTACAGGGTTCCTTGTAGACTTTAAACAGAAATGTGAAGAAAATACGGAACCTGTTAAAATAGAGAATGATGAATCATCTAATGACTGTAGTTACAGTAATTATAGTGATGAAGAAGATTGGGTTGATTTTGTTGATTGTTTAGGCAGAACAAAAAGATGTCACAAGGATGATTTAAGTGCTATGAAAGAGCAAGACGAAAAGCTTAAGCAGTCATTGCATGGTGATAAACCTAAAGAAAAAGAAAATTCTAAAGAATTTCAACTTCCACAATTATGCTCTGAAGATATGAAAAGAGAAATACTAAGGCAAAAATGGGAAGAACAAGAAAGAAATTTATTGGACAAAAAAAATATTCACTACCAGGATGTTCTTTTCGATGGTAAGTTTTTTAATTATTATACTTACTATCAGATTCTTAATATCAAAGATTTTGACAAAATATGCCATTTTTATCAAGTGCCATTTTTAGCCCTTGTCAAGTGTATTTTTTTAAAAACTCAATAAGAAAGAGTGCAATCCCTATTCGAATATTTACCTTACAAAAAATATTCTTCATCTTAAAGTTTTTTGTGCAAAACAAACTACTTTTATAATCGATTATTAACATGTCAGAAATTATTTTTAAAAACCTCATGATTAAGATGTTTTAGCAATTACTTGAAAATTTTTCTGTTGCATTAAAATATAAAAATAAGAGACGTAATTATCGTGACCTAGTTTAAAATTTCGCGTGACAAATTATTATTATTATTATTTTTTTTTCTAAAATATAAATATTAATTATTTTGTGATATTTTAAACTTTGAGTTTTTCATGCGTTTTAATTGGTAATTAGGGTATTTTGTATTAGTCACTGGTTGTTTTGTTTAATTCTAAATATTTTTGAGTTCTTTATTTGACACTGATTATTGAATTCGGAGTAAAATTTCTATGAAAATTTCTAGTTTTCTTTATTAATTAGCGGATTTGCTTGTAAGAAAGAAGAAGAACATTACCCACTTAAAAAATTATTTATTTATCAAGTTTATGTCTTTATATACAACTTAAGCATCTCTCAAATTAAATAAGGTTCATTTGAGTAAAAACTTTTATTAAATATATATTAATTAATTTACAGTAATTAATTAAAGTATACATTTTCTTTTAGTAGTGAATAATTATTATTATTATTTTTTTTTTTCGCTTCTCAAATTTGCCATAGACAATTACTACTAGTTTTCTTGTCGTAGTTTTTTTTTTTTTTTGGTTCACATTAATTTTATTTCATTTTTTATTATTACTAGTTTTGTTTAAACAAGTGATGCGAATAACAAAAATGAAATTAAATAAAGGAAAATTATGGGTTGAGCCGTAGTATTTCCGTTTCCGCTTGCGTTTTTCTCGTTTTCCGTGCGAGATGTCGTTAGCGTGACTGATTTTGTTGTGGTCGGTAACTGTTTACGTATGACTTCTATTCCGACATCACCTTCCGAAGACGTTTCCAAACGTTTGTTTTCGAATTCTTCTTCCAACGAACCACTTCCTTCCATCATCATAGAATCTTCATCGTCTTCCGCTTCCGTTTCGAATGAAGTAATGGTTGCCTCGGTGGGTACGATTTCTCTGTTGCATAGATCGCCCTTGCAATAACAATATTTTATCTTGTTTGCCGTTTTGCAATCTTCTATGGCGACTTGCGAACACGTTTTGGTCACTTGCGTTCCTAAAAGAAAAGAAAAAAAAGGTACGTTGATTAAATAAGTTGTTATTGGTGTTGTGATTTACATTTCTAATCAATTTATTTCCGTACCGTTGGTTTGCGTTAAACACCCTTGAAAATTCGACGTCGGAGGACATTCTCGTATGTAATCCGAATTTCCAATTTGAAATTGTGAACACGGGGGTATGATCGTTCCCTTTGGAAACAACTGGAGAACGTCTGATATGCTTGAACCCATACTCGGAACGCAAACGTAACATCTTTGTTTGCTTTCTTCGACCGATTGCGAAACTGAAATAATTTAATTATTTATTAAAAAAATGATAATTTTTTCCATTTGATAAATCGAATCGAATTTTTAAAAACGTTAACGTTAACGCATTAAAATTTACGATTTGTAGTTTTTATTGTCCCCGAAATGTTTAGAAAAAAATCCATTTCGAGTATCCCTTATTTTTTTTTTCTTTCCCTCCAGCTTTCGAATCTGGAATCGGTCCAAAAACCGGAGGGAAAATATTTTGTACGGACAATGATACAATATTATTATTATTACTATTTTTTTGTTTGTTTCATCGCATTAGTTTGAATCCCATTTTTATTTTCAAGGTTCAAAAAAAGGGTTTTTGTTAAGAATTTAATTTTTATATAAAATAATATTCGTTATCATTAGGTTATGTTACTGTTATTTTTAACTAGTAAAACTAGACATTTTGTTTTTTTTTTTTTTTTTTTTTAAAACTAAAATTCCAGTTCTTTCGGTTTAATTAATATGAAAATAAATCAATCTGAGTTGTTGTTGTTGAATATTTTACGATATTAAATACTAATTACACGCTAACGGAAGAAAATGGTTAAAATAATTATAGAAGTAGTGACAGTTTAATAACGTAAAAATCAAAAAAGGGTTTTTTTAATTTTTTATAAATTACAAAATTTGCCAAAAAAAAAAAAAAATTCTAAACGATGAAATCTATAAAAGTTTTAGAAAAAAAAAAAAACTGCTGATGGATATAAAACAGTTTTTTTTTTTTTTTTTCGCCCCCCTGAATACAATTTTTTTTTTTTTTGGTTTGTTCGAATTTTCGACTTTTTTCGTTTCTTATTATTATTATTATTTTCTTTCCTTATTTTCAAAAAAAAAATTTGCTTCCGTTCAGAAAGTTAAAATTTGTTTCGGAAATTTCGAAAAAGATTTCGATTCGAATGGGGGGGAAAAAGAGAGAGAGAGAGGGGGGGGGGGGGGGGGGGGGGGAGGGGGGGAGAAAAAACCCCCACCGTTTTTTTTTACATGGCGTTTTTTTTTTTTTTTTGTTATAAAAAAAAAAAAAAAAAAAAAAAAAAACGAAGGTACGCGTAAACCTGAATTTCTTCAAACAACTCCACAGGATTCATAAAAATAAAAATAAAACCCACAAACAAACAAACAAACAACAAACAAACATAATATTGATTCACGTGGTTTATTTATTTACAATAGAAAAAAAAAAAAGTGGACTCAAGTGTCAAATGTTGTGTCTGTTGTTTCACTTGCGTGTGCGTTTGTATTCTACGCACACACACACACACACACACGCGTGTGTGCGTGCATGTGCGTGTGCGTGCATAGGAAAATAAATTTTTTTTCTATTTATTTTTACAATTTTTATTATTTGACTAATTGAAAAAGCAGACAACAAACAAAACAAAAAAATTAGGGGTTTTTTTCGTCGTAAGGTTTTCGAAAATTTAATTATAATTAATCTACGGTTAAAAATTAAAAACTGACGAATGTGCAGCAGAAGACGTAGTAGGTTTAGAGGTTCAGGTCAAACAAAATTCTCCCCTCCCCCCGAAAAACCTCTTTTTCTTTATTACCTTTTTTTTTTAATACTTTTTCTTCTTTTAATAAATATTGAATTTCTTTGAAAAAAAATTATGAAATTCTACCTTTTTGCCTTTAAGGTAAAAAATTTTTTTAAATTTCCTCACCGAGGTTTTCCTTGATTTTCTTTTTTCTTTTTCTTCTAAGAATCGGTAATAGGAAAACTGATTTACGATTTGTAATTATGACACCGCATGACAATTAAAAAATTAATAATACCTGAGCTTTATTAAAATTTTAAATTTGCTATGTTGTTGTTGTCGTCATTATAAACAAACATAAACTTTTCTTATTTCGTTTGTTGTTGTTGTTTTTTAGTTTAAATTCGTTAATAAATTTCGTGCGTTTAATAAAATTATTCACGGCATAAACATAATAATAATAATAATAATAATGTTTAATCCCAATGTGAATTTTTTTTTTTTTTTTTTGTAATTTGAACAATTTGGATTTTTTTAATTTTAATTTTTATTATTATTATCATTATCATTTTCATTCCTTTTAATTCGTTTTTTTCGGTCGTTGTTTGTTGTTTTCAAAAAAAAAAAAAATAAATTCAGGTTTTGTTGTTTTCGTTAATTACAAAATTCACAAAAACCCGTAATTATAATTGAAGATTCATTTTTTTTTAAATCAACGAGATTTGATTTTTATCAGAATTTTTAGGTTGTTGTTTTTTTTTTTTTTTTCGTTTTAATTAAGTTTTTTTTTATTTTTGTGGGGGGAGCCGGGGGAAGCGAAGGGAGGAGGTATTAAAAAAACACATTATGTTTGTTATGTTGGTAGTGGTAGCCGAGCAAAGCATTTTTTTTTAGATTTTAAGAAAAAATAATTTGTTTTTTTTTTTTTTTTTTGTCGAAGATTGTCTCTTACAATTTTTTATTATGATTTTTGGCATAATTTGTTTGTTGTCTGGGTAGCGTGGAGTGTGCGTGTGTGCGCGTGAAAAAAAAGTTTATTAAAAACTTAATTTTAAAAAAAAAAATATTTTTTTTCTTGTCGTCGTAACATAATATTATTTGCTAATGAGAATTTAATGAATTTCACTTTTTTTTTTTTTTTTTTTTAAATATTATTTGAGATGTTAGTTTTAATCAAAAGGTGAAATACCTCATAAATGCCTTGTTTGTCAGCCGGGTGGGGCTCGAAATTCTGTTTTTTTCCTCAAAATATTAATGCAGAAAAATTTTTTTTTTTTTTTTTTTTCTACGTTGAAAAATAATTTACGGTGCAATGATGAAAAACAATAACAATAAAACGGATGCTAGACATTTTAACATAGTTTTTCCTCTGAATTTTTTTTCCCTACATTTTTGCATTCGTGATTTTAAAATTTAAATTGGAAACCTTAAACGCGTCGGATTTTCCCGCCTTTTTTGCACTTTTTTTTAAAAAAGTTTTGCGATGTGAGGTTCGATTGTTTTCACATATCTAATCCTATAGAGTTTTGTCGCTTATTATTATCATTATTATTATTGTTTTTAATTTGAAATCGGCATAAAGTGAATGAGTAATTAAGTCGTACAAAAATAGACGTGTTGACAATGTCGTTTTTTAAATTGCGGTTATTTTTATTGTTTAATTTTTTTTAGAATGAAATGCTGTTGCTTCATTCAATTTTTTATTTTACACATTTACAAACAGAGATGAAGTGTGTTTATTCCAGTGTTTAAAAATTATTTTATGTTAGGAGGGGAACCATTTATAAATTGTTTTTTAAATTTTTAATTTATTCAAAAAGTCCACAAACATTTTTAAAATGTTTAAATTTGAAATGTTTTTTTTTTTTAAAAGAGTATTGGCTTCATTTAAAAATTAAATTTGGCGTTTTTGTTTTGACCGTTGTACGCTCTAATAGTCATTTAACGTATTGAAACAATTTTAAAAACAAAGAAGAAAAAGAAGATGAAGAAGAAAAAGAAAGAAAATCACCTAACGTGAACCTTTTTATTTTTATTTTGTGTTAAAAGTTAATAAAATTGACAATTAAAAAAATTTTATGGGAGGTTTAAAATCGATAAACCTGGAAAAGAAAAAGGAAAAAAAGGAAAATTTAGTGATTTGCGTGCTAAATTTTTACATGGTGACGTCACCGTATTTCAAACAGCTGGAAAAAAATTGTTTTTTCGTTTGGATTGTTTGTTTTTGTTTATAAGAGAGAGAGAGAGAGAGAGAAAACAATAAAAACAATTAAGTAATAAGTTGTTATTATAATTTATTTGAGAATTTAATGGGGTTTACATGTAAAAAAGAGACAGAAAGAGGGAGGGGAGAGAGAGAGAGAGAGATAGAAAATTTTGAACCTTTGCTCAGTTTCTGGTTTTTTTTTTTTTTTTATAAAACAAGAGTTGAAACATTCGCGGTTTTAATTTTCAATGTAAAATTTTAATGATGTGACGTAACCGAGAAATAATTTTTTTTTTTTTTATTGTCGTCGTCGTCGTCGTCGTCGTCGACGACGCCTCATTCCGGTTGTCTAATCGCATCCGTTGTTGTGTTTGTATATCTTGCACCTGATTAAATATTTGAAAGAAATTCGAAACCCCCCCCCCGAGGGTTTTCCGTGGAACGCGGTGAGCATTTCGAAAAGAATATCATCCATCATTTTTTTTTGTCAAAAATTATACTCGGAGATGATGAAATGGCGAGAAGATTTTTTTATTTTTATTTTATAAAGTTCATTCAATTTTCTTTTTTTTTTTGCTGTTGGGAAAAACCCCACGCATCGAAAGTTGATTACGTAGATTAATTTTCCGTCTGGAATATTCTCTTTTCCTATTTTTTTTTTAATGGATGAGGCAATGACATCATTATTTTCCCCCCCTCTCTCTCTCTCTCCTTTTTTTTAATCTTTCTTGTTTGTCGAAACTTTTTTGGTGTAAATAAATTTTCTTTTTTTTTTTTTTTGTTAATAAGTTTTCCAATCGAAAATTTTAGGTTTGAATAAATGTATAAATATCGAAATTACTATAATAATAATAATCAATTAATGTTTTTAATTGTAAATGTTACTCTTATCGATACTGAACAGGTGGCACGCACGCACACGCACATACGCACTTGAACGCATTTGTTTAAATTTTTTTAAAATTTGTTGTTCATGGTCAAACGACGATTTGATAAAAATTCGATTTTCTATCGATCCTTAATAATAATAATAAATTGATAGATTTTTTGTAGAAAATATTCACCTGTTTCTCGTATTATAAGATAATAATAATAGTTTTCATCCGTAGGATAAACGGGGAGGGGAGGGGGAAATATTTAAGAGGAAATGCATTAAAGATTTGGCAATTGTTTTGGCAGAAATGAGGTTTCTTTTTTTTTCGTTTAGGTTCGTAAACCTTTTTCAAAGCTCGGGTTTTCTCGTGGAAAGT